TTCCCTCTGCTCTCTGTGGCTGTAGCCATCTTGGTTGTGATTATTTGCATACTTGCTCTGATTGGTTGGTGGGCGTGACTGGTGAGTGTAGAGCAGAGTGGTGGTTAATTTGCATATTACTCTTTTATTAGGTAGGATGATGTTTGGACTTGACTTTCAATCATAGGATAGGAAAAACAATGGAAAAATGTGTGATAGAATGTATAAGGGAAAATTGAGGTCTGGAAGAAGAGTAGAACATAGATCATGAAGATAAAAAAGGAAGAATAATTCCATAGAAGATGTATAGATCTGAATATGAGACATGTGAGACATTTATAAGGTTCTTAAAGACCATGAGGCAGGTTCCTGCAGTTTGACAGATGGAATAAATATGATGGTGAACAATGTAAGAATAAAACTTTACAAAAACAACAAAACACTTTTCGGAAGGCTCATCAAGAGCAATGCATATTACCCTTCTGGTTCTATTCATCCTGAGAATAAATACCTGTGCAAAGAATTTTTAACCTTGGCACTTTTGAAGTTTTGGGACAGATAATTTCTTGCAGGAGGCTATCCCATGGATTGTAGGATAGTTAATAGTATCCTTGGCTTCTGTCCTCTAGATGCAGTAACCCTTTCTCCCAGCTGTGACAACTAAAAATATCTCCAGACCATGCCAAGTGTTAATCACCAACATCACACCAGTTAACAACCACTGGCTTACAGAATAGGGGGAGGGAAGAATAGGGAATATATATGGGATGAAAATTCATATTATTCTTTTTGGTTTTACCACTGTCTAAGGAAGAAAACAGTAGTGATAAGCAGATACATCAAGAGATTATCTTAATACGACTTCACTTTAACTTGGCTTTTGACAGCTCTTTCCACATCTTGTTTTCCCTCAACTATGTCATTTTTTCATCTTTCAGTGAACCTGTTCCAATAGCTGTGTGAGTCCTCCAAGTCAAATTCATTTTCCTTTGAAAATACCTCTTTGATTCCAGGGATGGGGGAGCAATGCTATTCTGTCCTGTTGTGAAAGCTTCATTTCAGTTCTCTGTGATCTCCCTAAGTATATAGATTTTAAAACCCAAGTAAAGACAAGGAATTCAGACAATAGCAACACTCCCCGGGAAGATACTGTGTGGGTGAGAGCAGGCTCCTTGCAGGCCTTTAGCACCTGAAAGCAGGGGCTTCTCTGGCACATGAGCCCTGGCATATGGGAGAGGGTAGCAGGGGGAGTGAGAGCAAGTTTGGCAAACACCCTGCATTCTCACCAGACCTTTGTCCCTATCACCCCCACCTTCAGGTAGCTGGTGAGAGGTCACAGGGTGTCGCCTATGTCAACCATGTTTTGTAGTGCCCCCCTGGTGGTCAGTGCACATCATAGCAAGTGGTTGAACTCCTGATCTCCCAGGCTCCTGGTTTCAAACTCCTGTTGGAACAACCCTGGAGGTGACAATTTGCACATTAGGCTTTTATTATATAGGATGATTAGAGATTCCCTGCTAAGAAATTTTGTTTTGTTAACCCTCACTGAGGATATTTTTTCCATTGATTTTTAGAGAGAGTGGAAGGAAGGGATGGAGAGCTAGAGAGAGAGAAACATTATATGAGAGAAGTACATGGATTGGTTGCCTCTCACCTGTACGCTGACCAGGGATCAAACCTGCAATATTGGCATATGTCTTTACAAGGAATTGAACCAAAGACCCTCTAGTGTGTGAGGTGATGCTCTAGCACTGTGTGACACCAGCCAGGGCCCTGATAAGAAAATTGTGAAAATATAGAGAAGCAAAACAAAACAAAATTAACCATAACCCAGCACTAGTTTGCAAGGATAACTATTGCTAACATTTTTTTTCCATATCACCCCATTGGGTTTCTTAAAAATATGTACAATTTTTAAAGAAAAGTAATTTTCTGCTCTTTAATAATTTCCTACAAGCCATTATGCTTTTCAGAAGGTGTCACACATGTCATATATGAGTTTGGCCTTAGAGCAATGGTTCCTAAACTTCAGCATGCATCCTACTTAATGGGGGAATTCTAAAAATGATGGATTCTAATACCAGATATCTTTTTTTAATTGGTCTTAGGTGTGGTCTGGAAGGCTAAATATTTCAAAATTCCCCAGGTAATTACATTGTGCAACTTGGGATGAAAATCTGTCCCCAGGTCTTCTTATTAATGGCCTCTTTTATGGGGTAAGGACTGGTCTTTCTGGTCAGCACCAGCTTTCCTGCATTATAAAACTAACCAAAGCAACAGTCTTCTTTCAAGCCCTATTGTTTCTTCATCCAGCCCTTAAAACCCTATCTCCACCCTACTCTGGCCATCAGTTTCTATTTACACATCCCACAACTTAAGGAACTCCTCAGAATAACAAACTGGTGGTGATTTGATTGCTTTCTGCAATGGAGATATGTAGACTCAAAGGTGGAGCAAACAATTTAAAGAATTAAAACAGGCTGCCTAACTGAAACTGGTTTGGCTCAGTGGATAGAGCATTGGCCTGCAGACTGAAAGGTCCCGGGTTTGATTCCAGTCAAGGGCATATACCTTGGTTGCAGGCACATCCCCAGTAGGGGGTGTGCAAGAGGCAGCTGATTGATGATTCTCTCTCATAGATGTTTCTAACTCTCTATCCCTCTCTCTTCCTCTCTGTAAAAAAATCAATAAAATATATTTAAAAAATAATAAAAAATAAAATAAAACAGGCTGCCTCTCACTCAACCTGATGTCCATTCCCATCATCCCCCAGGAGGAGTGCAGGTTTCAGGGACAGGCCATTCAGGTAAAAGGTGTAGAAACAGAAACAAACAATCTGTGTTCCAAATCATTGTTTTCAACACCTAGACACCAGGAACCATAGAATCCCATCTCCATAAGGCTTGCCAGCTGCCTAATCTTCCTAAAGTGGATAAGAGGAGATTTATATTGCTTCTTGAACTACTCTAAATACTGAATTTATGGCTCATCTATCATTTGTAATCAGAAAATGCTAATTATAATGGTAAGAGCATTAAAAATCTCCCCAAATATTCTGTTTTAGAAACAAGATGGAGATTTATTTAATGCCTTTCTTATATATCTGAGATGTGTGGATACCTTTAAGAAGCCCATACATTATTGCTCTGGAATATTTTGGAATATGCTTTAAAGGAACTTTGCAATTTGTTATATCCCCTCACATACTCTGTAAGCCCTTATATACAGGTCTGAATGACATAACCAGAACAGGTTTGAAGAGGTCTACTTGATTATCACAACTTACACTGGGGGGAAGATGTTGCACATGAGACCCAGCTATGATTCCACATAGTGGTGCTGTCAGCAGACAGATAGTGCAGTGTGATGATGATTTTACTCAAAGCCTCTTAAAAACCTAATGTCAAAGTGTTTACAACAGTGAGCCTATTGACCAGGAAACACAAAGGAGGTGAAAACTAAAACCCATTGGAACCATTGTTTACTGCTGATAGGAATGTAAATTGGTGCAGCCATTGTGGAAACATTTTGGAGGTTCTTCAAAAAATTAAACAGACAATTACCACATGGCCCAGCAATCTCACTTCTGGGTATCTATCAAAAGAACTGAGAGCAGGGACTCAAAAAAATACTAATATTTGTACACCCATTTTCACAGCAGCATTATTCACAACTAGAGGCTCAGTGCATAAAATCATGCACTGGTAGGGACCCTATCAGCTGCCAGCTGCCAACCCATTACTCCCCTTTTCCACCTTCGCCGCCCCCCTCCTTGCCCCCTCCCATCTGCTGCCACTACTGCCACCACTGGCTGCACTGGCTGTGGCCTCCCTCCCTTCTCCTGCCTGGCCAGCCCACCCCCTGTTCAAACTCCAGGTCAAGGGGACAATTTGCATACTATGCTTTTATTATATAGGATGGCCAAGATGCTACACTATGGATGGATCTTCAGAACAGTAACTAACTGAAATAAGCCAGTCACAAAAGGACAAATACTGTGTGATTTCACTTATAAGAGGTACATAGAGTAGTTAAATTCATAGGGACAGAAGGTAGAATGGTGGTTGCCAGGGGGTGGAGGGGGCAGGGTGGAGGGGAGTTACTGTTCACTGGGTAGTTTCAGTTTTTTAAGATGAAAAGTGTTGTGTGAATAGATGGTGATGATGGTTGTACAACAGTGTGAATGCACTTAATGCCACTGAACTGTACACTTAAAATTATTCATATTTTATGTTAAATGTATTTTACCACAATTAAAATAAACCCCTAAAACCTTGCTTTTGCAAACTATACACAGAAAAAAACACAAAAATCTTGATACAATAGAGAATCACTTTTATTGCTATAAGACTTCAAAGAAGTAAAGTCTAGGGATGAGGAGGGGAAGCCTGAATAAGAAGAGAGCAATGGAGCTGAGCCTTACAGAGGGAGAGAAACCTGGGACTCAATAGTAACGGTGAGAGTTTTATTTTCTTCATGTAATCATGGAAGGATGAGTATTAGATACACTCATTTTTCTCTCTTAGTTTTCTCTTCATTATTTACATTTTATTGCTCAGTAATATTTTTTTTTTCAGAGACCCAGACTCAAGAGTGAATGAGCAAGAGGCTCCCTATGGTTTCAGGAAGGCTGGTGAGTTGTGAGAAGGTAGCTGAGAAAGAACTGTATAGTCTGCATCTAAGTCTCCAAATGCTACTTCACCATATTTACGGTACTTTATCAGTGTTCTCTCTGTTATATAGTTGTGCTTATATGTAGCATATATATATTTCTTAGGGGCAAAGAAGAGAATTTCCTACAACTACAGGGACAACCATCCAAATCAAGATGTAGCATTAGCCTCAGGGCGGAGCCACAGGAGACAGAGGGACCTGGATGGCCTGCGCTCAGGGTGACAGGCTGCATTGGTCTTTCTCTATGCCAGGACTGGCTCTGAATAGCACCCTGGCTCCAAACTCAGCTTCCAGGGCCAGCAATAGGACATTCCTGTGCAACTGACGACCCTTGTACTGGCCACCACTCTAGTACCAAAACCCTTGAAACCTGCAAGAGCTGTGTTTGCTGTGTTAATGCTAGCAGTGCTGTTGCTAATACTACCTGCATCTGGATGGAATGTAAAGTGAGTGGCTGCCAGGTGGTGAGCAGTACAGAATTCTCTTTTGAGCCCATTGCCACTCTACTGCCAACCAATTCTACAGCTAAAACCACAACCATGCCTTCCTCTTCTATAGTGACTATGCCTGTTACAACTATGATAATACCACTTGAACTCCAACTTTAAAACCTGTGTGGAAGTCTACCTTTGAGCCTGCCAGTTTCATTGGAGGAATTGTCCTTGTCTTGGGTATACAAGCTGTAATTTTCCTTCTCTATAAATTCTGCAAATTGAAAGAACAGAACTACCACACTTTGTAAACAGACTTGTTAGGTTAACAAGGACTGCCATGTAACTCACTAAAACAAAATCTTATCTTTCAAGATGTCCCACATGGAATATAGTATTCTGGGATCTTTCAAGTTTCAAAGGACACATATAGGATATTTTGGAGCATCGTGCTTGAAGAAAAATCAGTTAAATCATTTTGCTCAACATAAATATTGATAAGGTTCTGCATGAGAATTGTGGCTGGCTTCTTTTATTTTAAAGGGCTGCTGCTATGGGATTATGTTCTCTTCTCTTGATATGCCAGTGTAACTCTGTAGGTGCTGGACAACCTCATGACTCACTTGGCAGTTAAAATGAGTAATTTTAAAGCAGAAATACATATTAATTCCATCTTAACTCAGGATGTAGCTAAGTGACCAGAATTGAGAAGAGTGTGCTGAATGAGCATCAAACTGAACAAATTTATAAATTTAATATTCATATAGCAACTGCAGACACTGCTGTATTTAGAAATTTCAATTTTCGTTAATTAGAAACTGCAAAATGAACCTGTATTATTACTAAACTGATTTAAAATAAATCTACATGTCCCAGCTGGGTGGTTCGGTTGGTTGGTGTGTCATCCCATACACTAAAAAAGGTGCAGTTTTGATTCCAGGTCAGAGGCAACCAATCAATATCTCTCTCTCTCTCTCTCTCTCTCTCTCTCTCTCTCTCTCTCTCAGAATCAATAAAACATTACTTCAAGTGAGGAAAATAAATAAATCTACATGTTTATTGAAAAAAGTTGACCTTAACAGCAATGTGAGAATACTTAACACTCTTGAACTAAACACTTCAAAATCCTTAAAATAGTAAATTTTGTTATGCATTTTACCAAAATAAAAATAAAAAAAGAAAAATAAATTAATATTAATATATTAATATCCTCTAATCCACTGACCTCTTTCAAATTTCATTGTTGGTCCCTATAATGTTCTTTATAGCAAAAAAGAAGAAGGTGGGGGGAGGGGGAGAGAGAAAGGAAGGAAGGTGCACAGTGGTCCAAGATATAACAGAAGGCCACACATTTCACTTAACAACATATCCCTATTTCCCTTCTCTGGAGAATAACTGCTCAGTCTTTCCTTTTCTTGCAGGACTAATCAGTTTTTAAGAGAGAAGCTAGTAAAATGTCCCACAATTTGGGCTTATCTAGCACTTTACCATAATTGAGTTGAAGTTATGAATTTTGGGCAGGAATCCCATTGAAGTGATCTGGTGTTCTTCTCAGTGACTCATCTTAGAAGACACAGGATTTTGCTCAGTTTAATCTCCACTGGTGTTAAGTATAGTCACTTGTTTGGGGGTCCTTCAGGTTTCTACACAATAAAATATTCCATTTTCCCTTGTAACAAATTAGCATTTTCTAGTGAAATACTTTGAGAATAAGAAAATACCTTGCTCTTTATAAAATTTCTACCCACTAGTTTTAGCATCCATTAATGATTTTTTTCTTGAATCAAGCATCACTAGTACTTTAGTCTTTCAGAGGGAAGTTTTACATTTCATAGTTCTTTCCAAATTTTATAGTTGCATTCTTTTTGGAAAAACTGTATTGATTTAATTTATTTGAATCAGAATAACTCATGAATTGTGATTTTATTCAGTGAGTTATAATCTATCACTATCATTATTTATTTTGATGCTCACTTTATGTAAAATTTGACCAGTGGAATCCTTGGGCTTGGCTTCTGTCCCCTTCCCACAAATCCTCATCATTTCTGAGTATGTCCTTACTTTCTGGGAGAAGAAGATATTCATTCCAGGACCATCTAGACCTTCCCTGCCCTAACCTGAAATCAGCCATTTTTCCAAGAAGTCCTAGATCCTTTTAGTGGAGAATGTTGTTTGGCAATTAAGAGCTGGATGCAAGATATACTCATAGCTACTGTGGTATGATTGCTTCTAGGTCCTCTCAGAGAGAGGAGGGGCTAATAAATATATGTCTGTGTACATATCCCCCCCCCCCATAAATGTACACCTCTTTTGTCTACAATTAAATATATTAGAAAACATGATTTCCCACAGATCCATACTCCTCCAATACAACAGCACAGGGTTTATCCTGGCCTTGCCACTTTCATATTTATAATTATCTTCTTCAGTGGTAGGAAGATTGACTTCCATTATCCTCAGTATATTCACTTGTTTTGTTCAATCTCTTGCATGTCTCTACATTGGTCATCTCTTCAACCATTCCCATGCTGGCCTGGCACCCTCCTTATCATCTCTTTATCCTTGACATGCCAAGACTTCTCTTCACTCCCTCCATGGTCCTGACCTCATCCCATTGCCTTCTTGACCTTCTTCATGTATATTATGCACCGAGCCTTTAATATGTATTAAAGGCTCGATGCATAAAATTTGTGCACGGGGGGGGGGGGGGGGGGGGGGGTGTCCTTCAGCCCAGCCTGCACCCTCTCCAATTTGGGACTCCTCTAGGGATGTCCAACTGCCCGTTCAATCAGACATCCCTCTCAAAATCCAGGACTGCTGGCTCCCAACTGTTCTCCTGCCTGTCTTCCTGATAGCCCCTAACCACTTCTGCCTGCCAGCCTGATCACCCCTAACCACTTGCCTTCCAGCCTGTTTGTCCCTAACTGCCCTCTACTACAGGCATGGTCACCCCTAACTGCCCTCCTGTGCAGGCCTGCTTCCCCAACTGCTCTCCCCTGCAGGCCTGGTTACCTCCCAACTGACCTCCCCTGCTGGCCTGATAACCCACAAATGCCCTCCTTTGCAGGCCTGATCCCTCCCAACTGCCTTCCCATGCTAGCCATTCTTGTGGCGTCCATCTTGTGTCCACATGGGGGCAGGATCTTTGACCACATGGGGGCAGCCATCTTGTGTGTTGGAGTGATGGTCAATCTGCATATTATATTTTATTAGACAGGATAGGGGCCTTGTGCATGGGTGGGGGCCAGCTGGTTTGCCCTGAAGGGTGTCCCGGATCAGGTGGGGGTTCTCTTGGGGCATAGGGCAGCCTGAGGGAGGGGCCTGTAGTGGTTTGCAGGCTGGCCATGTCCCCTGGCGACCCAAGTGGAGGCCATGATATCTAGTGTTTATTTATCTTCTACAATTGAAACTCTGTAGCCTGGAGCTGAGCCAAGCCTCCTGCTTGCTCTCTGGTGGCAGCCATTTCTGTTGGTACTTATGTATCTCCTATAATTGAAACTTTGTAGCCTTAAGTGGAGACCTGGGCAGGTCAGGGTGTGCAGAAAACTTGGCTTCCTCCATTGCCGGGGCCAACCCTAGCCTCCTGCTCTTTCCAGCTCCGTGGCTGCCAGCATTTCTGTTTGGATTTATTTAACTTCTATCATTGAAAATTTGTAGCTTTGAGTGGGGACCTAGTCCAGCAAGGGCAGGTGGAAAGCTTGGCTTCCTCCATTGCCAGGGAAACCCAAGCCTTCCTCCTGTTCTCTGTGGCCATAGCCATCTTTGTTGGTTTATTTGCATATTTTCTCCTGATTGGCTTGTGGGTGTGGCTTGTAGGTTTAGTGGAGAGATGGTTAATTTGAATATCACTCTTTTTTTTATATTACATAAAGTAAAAAACTAAAAGCTACTATAACTAGGTTTAACAAAATTTCCCTCTCTAATTTGTGGCTCTCAAAAGTATGTAATAATATATAAAAGGTTATATCAGAATTGGGAGGGAAAAGAAGAATAAGGATTAAGGTGGCATGGGAATTTAAAAGTATTGTACAGAGAATTTCTTATAAACCACACCTTCCTTCATTGACAAAGGTAACGACTGCTTTAAAAAGTTTCCTTCAATTGACAAAGGTAACGACTGCTTTAAAAAGTTTCCTTCTTTAAAAGTAACAACTGCTTTAAAAATTTATACTTTTATAAATAGAAATATATATTTATTTATATATAAATAAATTAAATTTATATTTGGGTGTTCTATGACAATTATTGTAAAATGTGTTATAGATTTAATATTATTGTAGCTTTCTCAGTGGAAAAAAATTTCCTTTACCTTAAATATTTGTAGTAGACAGGATAGGCTAGGCTATGCTACAGTAACAAATAAACCCCACAGATCTTACTTATCATAATATTGTTTTTGTTTTTTGTTTGTTTTATCATCACAGTTGAATGAAGTTTGGGCAGCTTGCTCTTAGAACTATGCTGTCTGGATCACATGGCCTTCAAGATTAGAGAGAGAGAAAAAAAAATGAAGGAGACACAAAAACTTTTATCTCCCTCAAAATGAAAGTGACACATAAGATTCTTGCCCCTATTTCATGGGCCTAGAAAAAAATGGGGAATATATAAAACCCCACAGGTATTTAGTGAGTAAAAACTGTCTCTCCATAGTATATTATTTCCTCATTCCAAATGTGTTAAAATTAGGATGCTAAATATGACTTGAAATTAAAGAAATTTGTTATTATAAAAACCCTTTCACACAACTATTTTCAATCTTTTTCATCTCATAGCACACATAAACTACTAAAATTCTGTGGCACACCAAAAATATATTAAAATTTTTGCTGATCTGACAAAAAATAATTTTGATTCATTCATACTACACTGCTATTGACTGTTGTCATTTTCTAAAATTGACAATCTAAGGTAGAAGACCTCAGTTCCCCTGTTTAATAATCAGGTATTGCATGTTTTAAAAATTCTTGTAGCACACTGGTTGAAAATCACTGCTTTAACTCAGAGAAAAGTTATGGATATTAACTTCAGCTAGAAATTAAGCAAAATTCTATTATATATCTAAAATGAAAAAACTTAAAAAAATTGTGGATACATTTTACATTGTTTTAGTTTTTTCAACCAGCATGTAGGTCATATGCTGTTGAACTCCTGCTCAACATTATTGTAAAGCATGTATGTCTATGGTAAAATACCTGTCTTCTTCAGGGCAAAATTCTTTTCCTTGCCGACATACAGGACCATGCAAGAACTATTTCATTTTGTCAACATTGCTATCATAATAAACTCCTTTTCAAAGAACTTGCCTTGTAAAGTGGACATAGGATACTTAATTGTAATGGAATTTAGTTACTTTAGGAAGCAAATGTAGACATTCAGCTAGATATTTTCATGAGGTGACTCTCACAGAAGTTAAGGAGGTCATGAGTGACCTCTCTGTGTGCTGCCCTTGAAGGCCTGAGTCACCACCTGGACAGCTCTCAGGGAACTCCATGTAGACACTGAGAATAGATAAAACACTTTATAAGCCATTCAGTCAATGTTGGTGGTAGCTTAGGGCATGTCATGGCTATAGAAATAGTACACAATTATACAGGGTGTGAACCAGGCAGAGAACAATAGAAAGAGAGGCCATCTGTTTTTATATTGGTGATTAATAAGAAAAATGCACATTTTATTTATCCTGGGATCATGCCAGCTAGTGGGAAGTATGTGGGTGTGTGAGGCCCTTTGTAATAATAACCTACATGGAGGGTAAGCACATAGGAATCACCTTCTTCCTTTAATCAAAAAAGGTGGCCTACTCATAAGAAAATCAGTCCAACATGCTTCTCTGCTTTACCTGCCCCTTTAAGGGAGGTCACAAACACGAGAAAAAAAAATGGCTTGCCTAAATTAATAGTGTCATAGTCTCTAAAATCCATGGGAAAGTATTCCCACCCTCAGAGAGTTAAAGGCAGAGGGAACATCTGGCACAAACTGTGTAGGCAGCACCAAGGTCCCTGGAGAAGCTGCATGAGATAAAAACAAGGGATCTGTCACTAGAGCCAGTGTCTACATTGTCTTTTGAGAACTACTTTTATGCCACTGTCTCCTGAATTCCTTTCAATAGCCCTATAAAGAAAAGATAAGACAAAAATAAAAAATTCAAGGACCACCCATGATGAGACAGCTGGTGGTGGTGGAACTTGTAGTCAAATCCTAAAGTTCTAAAGCCATCATACCACACTGGGTCTCTATGCTCAGATGTTTTTGTTCCTTTACAAAATTGAAAGCTCCAGGATCCAGGTAGGGAGGGCATATGAGGGAGGGCAATC